TGTTCCGATAATGTTTCATTAAACACAAGTCAAGGCGAGCTTGAACGATTTTGACACTTCGCCTCGAGTCAATGACACAATATAGAAAACTCGAATTCACTGCAGTAAATTAATTAACTGGCACGATATGACATTCGAGAGATTTATAAATCAGTTCGGATTTATCATCGTTCACGTTTCAAACGCGCGCTGTTAACCGCATTACCATTCAAAATTGTTACGCGTACCGACTTCATTGCAAAACGCAGTCCTTTCTTCATAACAGACTGTGTATCTCATTTCTCTGACACACCGCCATAACGCAGAATGTAGGCGTGGCGTACGAACAGATTCAACCAATCGGGTGCTCGGAGATGACATTGAATTCAGGAGTAAGTAAAATTTAAAATAGTAGAAGTACTTATTCGGAATGTTCTTTTCAATGTCAGTGAGATTGATATTAATCGATATAAATGTATTGTACTTCATACTTTACATTTCTAAATTAGTCTAGAATATTTTATACGAATATCAAACGTAATTGGAATAGTTATTAAACTTCTATGTTAAGTGAATTAGGAACCACGAAAATTTCGGGAAGTATATTTAAATTACTCTAAAATGCATTTTACAAAACTTGTGTACATATATTTCAAAAATAGAAAATAAACTATTTACATCTCATACAACTTATAGATTAGTGTCTTTATAAATGATACATAGTATTATAGTAATAATCTAATTTTATGATAATAATGCTGTATTTTAAGTGCTAAATTGTTGCATATTATATTTATCATATTACTTATCATTAAATAAAATGTTTAATTTGTCAGTTGATTCTGTACTTGTAAAACATTCTGAACGTTTCAGTAAATTATTTTTGTTCGCATTAGGTACATATTTAATGTTTATTGCTTCTGGTGAATTTTCATTTTCTTCCGTATTAACTTCTACGTTATCTTCTATGCTTATATCATTAAAATTTGTATTGTCACTGTAACATACTTTTTGCGTTGTGTAATTATATTTTGGTTTAAAAGAAAATTCGTTCATATTATTTTCCAATGAATTGTCCAATGTTGTAAAAGAATTATTGAACACTGGTTCTTCTTTGCAATTCTTGCTTTCACTTTCTGAAGTGCTTTTGGAACGCAAATGACCAGCATACACATTTTTAGGTAAACGCATGTTATGAATATTGTCATCCTGAGAATAGTTCATTATCTTTGTATTATTAAAAGTCTTTGATTCTGTAAAAAATAATAAACATTACTTGTATTTAATAGTAAATATATTTTCTTTAATGAGAAATATTGTAAGGAACTTACCACATGTTTGTGCTTGCACTTTCGATGTGTTACCAATCATTTTTCCAATTAGAAAACCAGCTATGAATATAAAGAAAAAAAATTAATAAAGCATAACAATACAATAAATTTAACTGTTATTAAACATTTTAAATTATATTTACCTGTTGCTCCTACTATACTACCTCCAAGGAAATACGTCATTTTCTTTTCTTTCTTTGTAAACATATTTTAATACTAATTACTTTAAACTATATGCACACAATAGTAGTTAAAACACACAGTTATATAAAAGTTGATAAATTAAAACATGGGTAGAACGTTACATTCCATTGATTCTCGTATTAAATGTTTCAAAAAGGGCACTTCAAGGTGATACCAAAATGTAAACATCAGGCTATTTCATTGCAAGATGTATTAAAGTTGTCAGAGATATATTAATAATATGAAAGAAACATTTAATTAGTTCTTTAATATTTATGTCATACTGATAAATCTTAATAAATTAATGAGATAATAAAATAAACAGTTGTATACTCTACATCTAAATTATAGTCTTTTAAGATATCAAATACATATTTTTACATATTAATAATTATGAAAAATATTCTTGGTACTTCCTGAGCATGTATGTGTTGTTTTTAAATCTATAAAGAACTAATAAAATAATTTAGCAAAAGTTATTTTCAAAAAGACAGATGTAAGGTGATACAGGTACGAAATGTAGTTCTTGTTTGACACAGCGGACACCTTTTTTTGTTCTGTATAGCCAATTCTAAACAACTTCTACAAAATATGTGCCCACACCGAGTACTCATAGGCTTCCGATCATAGGATAATTTTTCATAACATATTGGGCACATTAATGCATTTGTTTTTTCTTCACAGCTATCTCCATTATCAATTTTAGTACTTCCAGACAGATGACTATTATCTAGATCTATTATCTCTGTTGATTGCGTATTCTTGCACAAATTCTCACTCGGTATTTCTCTAAACATAATTACTTTATTAGTACTATATAAATTTATATAAAATCGGTAGAATCATTTTTTAACGATGTTAAAACTACGTACATAACAGAATTTGAAAGTAATTGTCCGTTTACTTTGTCGCATTTTCTACGGTTTGTTGTTGTCTTTGTTTTTGTTACTGCTTCCGTACTATTACTAGATATTCTGTTAAGATTTTTACTCCGTAATTTCGATGTTTTATTCATTGGTGAGTCTATCGTTAAATCAATAATGTCTATAGGATCTGACATGTTTTCTACCAAAATTCTTGCTCTTCTTACTTATAGCAAAATGTATTTACGTACACACGTGCAGAAATACAGGTTTACTAAAAAAAAGGTTAGATAATCGTCCATGATTTGGTAAAGGTTTAATTTATTTTCCTCGCGTTCAAAACATTTGAACAGTTTGAATATATACAAAAATTCATCGATCGAAAGTATGAAAATTTAAATAACCGTATATCATTGAAAACAAAATAAAATATACTAAGTAGCGCATAAACTAAATTGTAAAAATTTAATTACTTAGATAAATACTTACATGTGCATTTATAAAAGAGTATGATCGGATAACACTTGAATTAACTTCTTTCAACTGTTTCTCACTCACACAAACACTCGAGAACATGCTGCAATGATCATATGAACATACAGTTACTCGCTGATCCCAACCGGTTTTCGTCTGAAACGGACAGAAGGCAAAGGGGGACGTCCACTAGCGGCACTTGGCCCGATAGTAATGGTGAAATTAGTATAAACATTTAGGTTGAATATATAAATACAATTTCACTAATTTTAAAGTAGGTATTTACGTGAAAATTCTTTAAACATATACAAAAATATACAAGTACAAAAAATCACACAAATTAAAATTTGTAATAAAAATTAATAAAATTTTTATTTCACTTTTGCTGTAATAAGTCCTTCAATTAATAAGTTAATTCTTTTATATTCTACATTCCAGAAAATGATGTATAAAAAAGGGAATATAATGTAGAATTTTCTTTATATATGTATGTAGAAAATTTGATTTTGTCTAGTTATATCTCTGTGAATGTAAATCATGTAAATAAATTAATCATACTACTAATTACACTGAATTCATAACAAGATTTCGTGAAACATAATAAAACCATTCTTAATATATTTAAAATATGTATAATAATTACAAACTATTACAAAAATACAGAAAATACATTGTAAATAATTTCAATGACATATAGTTTTATAATACTTTCCAAAAATCTTTTGAGCATAAATTATTCTAAAAATCATATTCCTCAAATTACATTAAGAGTTAAAACCTGGACTTAGTTATATACAAAAATTGTTTAAGAAAGATATGTAGGCACTTTACACATCATCACATTGTATATAAGCATATGTGCGATATGTTAATATAGTGAGCAGCCTACACAATTAGTACAAGTCTTATCTCGATTCTGACAAAGAAATACAAGATATATATTATTTAAATTCTACAGGAAGAAAGGATATATAAAAATATGTTGTACATCAATAATTAAAATTCCAATGGAGAATTATATTAATACTTTTATGAAGACATTTACTGATCTTTCTTTGTATAAGGAATAGTGAGAATATTTGATGCTAAAAATTTATATTTTCATTCAAAAGAAATACTGCAAATATAAAGCATATATGTAACTTTGTACTTGTGACAAAAAATATGGATTTAATGACACAATTACTTCTTTAATCATTCAGCTTTTTCATCTAATATTTTTGTCTAACTATGACAGAAAAGAGTGATTTGTTCCAGTTGTACAGACCACCTTATTCGCAAAATTATTAAAAAAATATTTTAAAAACCGTGCTATGCGATGATATTTCCTTGATTTTTTGTTTGAAATGCAATTTCTGTTATTCTTGCATGATATTAATATATAAGGACACTTCAATTATCTATACTTCAAACTAAGCGTTTGTTAATGTAATGTTCTATGTACATTTATAATAAAAAGGCTATCCCATTTCAGGAATGAAATAGAAATATACTGAAAATGACTAATGTGTATCAAAAATTAATTTTTATCCTGACATTGTAAATAGTTAATGCTTCCTATTTTATGTAATATATTTTACTTTTTGATAGTATTATATTCATCAAGTAATAAATTATTAAAGTTTGTTAATAGTTCTTTACATAATATAAGACTGGCCTAATAATGTTCTATATGTAAATATACGTTTACAATTAATGTAGAATTAAATAATTCATTTACAATGCTCTCGTAATACTCCTCTGAAGTATTTTGACGTGTCTTGAGTTAATTAGCTTATAATAACAATAATTACAAATAATAATAATAACAAAATGGAATTCATTCAAATTAGATACAACTGGTAGATCATCAAGTATGCCTACGAAGATAATAGTATGCGGTTTCGTTCATTTCAGTCGTCCACTCAATTAATTTGTATTCGAATTTTTCTGTATTAATCCGAGTGGATAGTTCACGATCTCAATTTCTATCAAATAATTTTGATAACGTTTGAGTGATTATAAAATGGACGGTTAAATTCGAATACTTTATAGAAAAATACTAATAAATTCTTAAATTTCTCATAAGAAACATCTGATTATATTAATGAATAGCGGGGGGGAAAAATCATCTTTGGCTGTTATAATATAAATTACTGATTTAAGACGTAATATCATTGGTTAATGAGTGTCACGATTTCTTTTATTACGATTACGTAATAACGAAGCGTCCAAGAGAGAATAGGTACCAGGTTCGAACACCGGTGGATATTCTAAACCAGGATAATCAGGTGGTGGTGACGTGGGTGGTGGTATATAAGGCAATGTTGGTGGATTCAATGAATGTCTACTTGTGCTCGTAAATCCTTTCTGGCATGCAGGATAATTTGTACCATTCTGGAAAGGAAATTTGTTATAGTAAAATTAATATTTCGTATAGCTAGCATGCAAAATATAATAACACGAGAACTTTATGCACATGAAAGTATAAACTGGATTACAGGTAATACTTACTTTTGACGTCAGGCTTGGAGTACACGGTGATGGTGTGTCAGGACTCCAATCGCTAACAAAACTAATAGAAGCGAAACTTTGACTATACGTTTGTGGACTATTTCCGCTAAAGGAACTAACGGATTGACTGATTCCACTATCACCAGGACTTTGGCTATTGGATCGACTGGGTAATCGTGATTGATTGTAACCTTTTTCTCTGAACAAGGCTCTGTGTAACCTTGGCGAACCTGTCAAAATGTAAAAATTATTACCACAAACATGGCCACGCTTGGCAGTTCAAAACAAAAATATTCATTTACCCAGTAATGTTTTCTGCGTTTCTTTAGGAAGGTCAAGCGTACAAGGTTTCTGTTGACACTTGTTACCAAATAAATTTCTCAAACGACTTGGTTTCTGGACCTGTTCACGTTTATCCAAATGCATTTCAAATGCAGCTGTCATTCCTTCTTGTTCAAATGGAGACGTTGGGATAGGCGGTGGCTGATACTGTGCTACATTTTTTAAACGTGTTTTGTCGGAATCGGTGTCCCTCTTATCGCTTCGCCGTAAAGAATCCAACCAATGTTTATCCGATAAAGAATGATCACGACGATTCGTTAAGTTGAAACTTCCTTTGCGACTTACAGTTGCTTCTTTCTTCGCGCGGTGTAGAGTCTCATAAATGTGATACGTAAGATCACTACTTGATCCGGAGCAACCTACAAAGGAAACTTATTATATTTATATTATACAAAATCATTATTTCAGTAGGAAACATACCGTCATTTCGGGCAAGTCGTTTTGATGCTGATTTCGTATCATCTACGAAGCTGCTAACATTCTTTGCTGAATAATAATCATACGATCTAGAGGTTTCTGTATGATTTGAAAATTGTGAATACATACAAGTATTGTTGTACTCGCAAGCCACATTATCTTGCCTGTCAAATGGTTCAACGATATCTGATTTGGTTTGATAAAAGGATGCTATTTGTTTTGAGTCGTTTGTAATATTCTTTAAATGAGGGTTCATTAAATAATTCATATAATTGGGTTCATTTGATTTCTTTTGAAGTGGATGTTTCGATGATTCTCCTCTATTATCGCATCTCTCCGAGTCAAAATCTCCGCTTAATTGTCTTGTATGTAAAGTATCCACGTTTCTTGCATATCCGTATGCAGTGTTATTGGTAACTTCACCATTTGCTTTACTTCGAGCATGTGTAATGTCATTACTGACCGCTGTATCGGTCACGGTTTTTGACTGATCGGTAACAGTTCCATTATCATGAAAATTTCTGTGTTGAACATGAACATGATCACTAGTTAAAGGTGTTATATGCGGAGACGCAGGTCTGTTTCTAATTATTGGTCTTCTATCATCTTGCTGTGACAACATAAATTCTTCCAATGTGATAAAACCCTGCAACTCTTCTGGTCTTCTACTTCCTCTAGTAATACACCTACATTAAAAATTAGTTTACTAGTGACATTAATGTATATTTACAATAGAAAGAAGTGTTCGCGAGAAGTACATTTAATTAAGGATACAGCAGAAGAAAGCCATGCACAAACCACTAACATGTAAAATAAAATTAATCAACGTTCTGTGTTAATTATTTTATTATAAAAGGTATAATGTAACAATTATCTTAATAAATTCAGGATTTATTTTTATTTATTTCTACAATTAAAAGAAATGTTACAACGGTAACATAAGTTTAGTAAAATACACAAATTGGAAAAAGAAATAGAATTGTTAGTTCTATAATGTGCAGTGTAAGCATTTACCTGTCTGTTGTACGCCTATAATCACCCATATCTTGAGTACTACTGGACATATCAGTAGCACTTTGGGATGCACATAATCCATAAAATGTGCTTTCCGCAATTGTTATTTGTAAGTCTGATGAATTTGAAACCGATTCCTGCTTCCTAAAAAGAATCACAATTAAAAAAGATTCATATTCAATTTGCATTTTACGCCAAATATTTCTTATGATATGTATACACTTACTTGTTGGGTGTAGATGTTGGCAGTACTCTCCTGTAACTTCTAAATTGTGCTGTTGGAACAGGTACATTGTGATTTCTTGTACCAAGAAATTTTAAATATTTTCTGTCTAAACTGGCACCACTTATTTCATGATCTTTATATCCGGTAGAGTCCTTACGAACAACTTTTTTCAACGAGCCAAATGATTTTTCTAAATTTGGCTTATATTCCGATGCTTGAACGTTTTTAACTTTGGGTTTTTGTTCGCCGTCGCTCTCATCCGTTTCACTGAATAGTGCACTATTTCTACTATGACTGTCAGCACCTAAAGTTGCTTTGTTAATTGCTTCCAACCATATAGTAAGAGTATCCTCAGTGTCTGCAGCAAAATAAAATACTGTTCCTGTATGGTAAACTTTGAATGCGTACTTTCTAGACTTTACTTCTAAAGCTCGGGACACAGTAAATCCTGTCAAAGCTATAAGACAATCTGCTTTCACGCTAGTTTGAGTTTTAAACCTATAAGTTACAATGGAGTAAGTATTTGCACAGTAAATATAAGAAAATATTATAATTAAACAAACCTGTATAGGGAGGAACATTTTAGGACAAACCAAGCTTTAGCCCATGCCCCGCCAGCACCCCTTGTACGATATGTTAACCACCCTTCCAAATCACCTGCACCTATATCTTTAACGGAAATATTTCTTCTCTCTAATAAAAATAATATATATATGTATATATGCACGTATTAATAAATGTAAGTGCTTACATATCATTAAATGATTACCATAATCTTAATTACTTACTTGCAAATAATATACTTCTTTTTCTACTACTTCTGGGACTACTACTAGATGATTTGCTTAAACTTCCATGCAGTCCAATGCTTCTGGCAACCATCATAGCTTTATTAACTACACCTTTTTCAAAATGTTTTTCTTTTTCATTACTTTTACATTTATGTTCCAAAAGTTGTAATTGCTTTGAAGAGCAAGAACCATCTAAAGAATCCATATTTTGGGAGTAGCATTCTAGATTATGACTTTCAATTGTTGAACTGGTGTAACCATATTTCTCAATAAAAGGTTCAAACTTATCACAGATAGATTTGTCTTCCTTCAATTGTTTATCATTGCATTCTATGAACGAAGAATCCATATTTAAACAAGGTCTATGCTCATTACCTAAATTGTTTGCTTCATCAATGTATTCAATTGAGTTTTCTGTAAAATTATCACAAACATCTAAGTAGTCATGTTTTTCCAGAAGATCCACGTTATTTTTAATATGAGTTTCTGTATAATGTTCTTGCTTTTTTAAATCTCTTCTAACATTGGGTTTTTGAACTGGATAAAGTTTCTCTTGATCCTCAACAGTTTTCGAAATATTATTAAAATGTGAAGTCGTTAACTTTGTATAATATTTACGTGGAGGAGGGTCTGGAGGTATTAAATGAGATTTAGATTCAAGCTTTTTAGTAGATTCACTTTTCGTTTGCTCTACATATTTGACCGGCTGTGCTACATTTCTTTGATTAACTGAATCTTTAATATTTTTGTTATCATTTTGCATTTTTTGACTGATGTGCATTTGAGGAATGTTCTGAGTAATATTCTGTATATTATCTTCGATAGAACTGTAATCACAATTTGTTCGTGAATGCTCTGGAACTAGTGTTTTTTCTTTCATCAATATATTAGAAGATTTTTTTTCTATTAACTTCGAATGTTCTGCTGGTGCACAATTGAATGTTTGAAGAATTTTTCCAAAGCTACTTAAGTTCGAATTGCTTTCAATATTATTTTGCGCGCAATTATTAATTACCTCTAATTTATCTTCATTTATTTCATGTTTCAAAGTTGAATTACTTGCAAAACTTTGAGTATTAGACGCTTGTGATATATTCTCCGCTTCAGTGTTTGAATTATTCATTATATTTCTCTTGACATACTTATTTACATCAGAAATAATACATTCATTATTGCTTTGGTTATTTTCTATATTATTTCTATAACTTGCCTCAGTTATCTTATGTACAAATATTTTGGGCAAGTTGGATGGCAAAGATGTTTCAACAAATTGTTCTTTATTATTTTGTTCCTCATTCTTAACACTACTATAAACAATCGTATGAGTACTTTGTTCTTGATCACCAATATCTTCCAATTTTTGTTGATTATCTAAACTTGTAGTATTCAATTCAATATCAGTCTTACTCGTAAATACATTGCTTATATTATTTATAGATGACTCTAATGTATAAAATAATTTTTGTTTTCTGTCTTCAATGTTATCAACATCCATTAAATCATATGCTGGTGTACTATAACTCTTATCCAATTTACCTCGTTCTTTAACAGTACATGAACTAGACTCTTTACTGCATAGTATATTCTTATGATTACTATGTCTATCTCTAATAAAATTGTTGCACTCGTCTAAAGGCACACTTGTATCACCAAAATTATTATTGTTATTGGTAACATTAGCTGACGTCGGTGAGGTTTGGCTGGAAATGTTAGTACTATTAATAGTCAACGTGTCCTCAGAATTTTGAACGTTTTTGCTCTCGTCCTTTGCTTCGTGAATAACATTAATCTTATTATCAATCTGAGGAACATCGGATTTAACAGTTTTCTCTTGGAACTGTAACTTTTTATCATCAATTTGTACATCAGATCTCTTCCTTCTTTTACTCTGTTCTATGCTTAAGCATGATTGCGGCCGTAAATTTGAAGGGACATTATCTAAACCATGAGCACAAGATGCTGCTTTGTCTCGTAACTGAGAACTTGTACTATGTTCCTGTTTCAATTCTTTCCAAAATTGTTCAATATCAATTCCATGTTTAGTAGTGGGACTAGCACCAGTTATAGTAGCCCGTCTTTGAACAGAATTCCTTGGTTTTGTTGAATATAATCGAATCGATAGCGGTGGTTCTGCCTCACTATCAGAGTCACTACTATCTAATGTGTCTAAAATACTTGCAGGTTCTGGACTGGGATTCTTTGGCATGTGCCTAAACAAATTTTTAATCGATAGTATGCAGTGTAACAGATATAAAAGCAATATACGTATTTATATGTATATACATATATTATACCTTGGTAATGGCATTGTAAAATCTGGTATGGTCAATAACTCTGGCCTTGGCGATGGAAGATTATGTTGCCATCTTGTTGTATACGAAGTTTTTTTATTGCTTGGAAGTCGGTATGGTTTTATGTAAATTTGACCATATACCTTTGTATGTCGTGGTCTACGTTTTAAAGTTAACAATACTTCAGCAGGACTTTCACGGAATAATTCCAATAGATTCTTTCGTTCCCAACCAACAACAGTCTGATAGTTTACCTAAAACATTAATTTAAATAACGATTAAAATAGTCGGTCGAATTATTCTTATATAAATACCAAATTGAAATTACTTGAACTATTTCATCTCCTTCCTCCATTTTACCACACTGGTGAGCAGCCGATCCAAATTTAATTTCAGCAATTTGATGAGCTCCATGAAAGGATGGTAAAATATAAAAACCCTACAGAAATAATATTTGGAAATGTTAATGTTTCATACTAATAAAAATTATATTTTCATAATAATTTAATAATGTGCTATAGAACAATTATCTGGAAGTTAAAGTTGTGTCAAACCAATGACTGTAGGTTTATCTCTACCGGATGTAGCAGATTTATCTCTGAAGGATGTGTAGTAGATAATTTCTTCCACAATAATTATGAATATACTACATACATTACAGTTTTATTTTGACGAAGAGAAAGCAACATGGAAAACATAATTTTCCTTTAAATAGAATAATTATGATTACTTTTAAACTTACTAAGTCATCTCCTGGTTTCTTTTTTAATGTAGCCAAATCTAAGCTAGTTGGTTGCAATATCATAGGATCAGTAATATCCTGAATTATATAATCCGCTAATTTTGCCAGTTGCCCACAAATCGTTCTAATTTCTTCTATTGGTTTCTCTGCAAATCTATCTCTTTGGGCACATGTTGCCATTTCTAGAGCTAATTTCATCAATTCAACCTTTTTATCGTTATATTCTAGCTGTCCTGAAAATGGAGGACGATCGAGCCATCTCACCAAAGGCTTTACAGCCATTATAACAGATGCTACATCGGATAATGTTTGAGTGGTAACAGGTTTCGAGTCTGTTTGACGAGACAATTCATTTTGTAAACTATGTGCTTGGCAAGATAATCGTAATGCCAAAAGTTGTAGGTTCTCACGATCGAGCTCATAATGAAAATTTCTTAAATATTCTACAGCTTCTAGAATAATCTCTTGGTGGCCAAGTTTAAGCACTCCAAGATGTTCTAAATCTTCTGGTCTTAGATTCAATAACTGTTGTCCATTGACACCATGGTTTGTGAAACTATGTACATAAGGAAGTACAGAATTATCTAAACCTAAAACAAAAGTTATTGTTACTTCATGAAAGTTTCATTGACTTAGAAAAAAACATAAATACTAATAACATTCTATATGGATAAACAAAGTAAATTTGATTTAAAAAAACATTAAACCATAAGAAAATTTTGGATTATTTTTCAAAATAATAAAAATAACTTTAAAACATTATAAAATGACGGACAATTTTGAACATTCTCCCTTGTATCTAGTATATTAGAAAAAATAATATTCATAAAAACGCATGTAAACAAAGGTCTAACAAATTCTACAGAATCGAAAGTAGTTTCTTCTTTTGATCATAAGTTATCATTACGATAAGAATAATCATTTTTCTAAGTAACACTGTGTCCATAAAACAAGTATTTGTGATGGGTGATTAAGTGAATCACCACTGTTTTACACAAGTAATAAAGTGATTGATCGAACGGAGAGAGAGGAGAGAAGAGAGATGCGGGCGTAAATGCCAAATGCATTTTCACGAGGAAATTTCAATGATTAGCAAATAGCGAAAATCATTCATTTTTGAATATATAGCGAAAGGTACACTAATTCTATAGAAAGCACAACTTTTCACACCTTTTAACCATTCGCACACTTGATCAGTTTTCCATTCAGCAACATTAACATACGCCATGACCTGACCATGTATTGAATCACAAAATACTAAAGATTCTGCTCGTCTTCAATCGTTCTAATTTCCAACTCGCCCCGTCGATAACTGTTAAATACTTGATTCAACAATAACTGTATGTATTGCATTACATGATAGTTCAAAATAATTGCGTTACGCTGCGCTTTTGTCGCCTCCAAGTTGACAACTTTACGAGGTTACTTTATAATTCTATCGAAGTTGCAAATTTCTTATTAACATTTTTATACGTTAACACCTCAAAACAAATAATAATATAAAAGTCTCGTTATATTTCCATTAAAATTGTATTAATGTTAATCACTAGCTATTATTTTGTAACTATTGAATCTATTTTATATAGTTGGTAGTTCTTATTCGGTGTTACATCAATAACTCTTAAACGACACTAATTTATCATATCAATATTTAAAATATGTATTTCCTCATGGCATTTTATTTATAACGCAATTTTAAATAATATTTACATACAATACAATAGAATACAATGCAATACAATATATATGACATATTGATACATTTTAAAATATATGTGAATATACAATATACATACGCAATACTTAAATCATTTAATATATTATCAATGGAAGAATTTTAGATACACAATAATACCAAGAATAGCTATTTCTAATAATATTATTAGAATCAATACAAATTTATTCATTAATATCCTTCTTCGCATAATGTTTAGTATTCTTTTTGTTTTATCTAATTCTTCATCTGTTTCTGATAATCTCCTCTTTGCTCTCAATAATCGCTCTCTTTGTTCACTTAAATCAGATATTACTTCAGTTGCTATATTTTCACTCTCAATTGCAACTGCTTGAGATCTGGCAATTGATTGCGCAGTAGATGTCAATGATGCATTGCCTGATAGCAATGTACGTCGATGCTCTTCTTCCCAGTTGATTCCAAAATTCATTGTGATAATATTAATAAAACGTACTTGCAACAAAAGACAAAATTCGTTTACATTCCAAGATCCATCATAATTTCTATGAATTCACTTTCATTAACTGTAATCATAAATACACAACATTATTTTACAATATTTTAAAAATATAAAACAAAAAACACATCAAATTTATTGATCTCAATATTTTTTACTAGAATTATCTTGATCCAAATCGAACTCTTTGATCATAAGTTCCATCTCTTCGAGTGTTAAGTCACATTCAAGTTTTCCATTCAATTTTTGTAGATCTTCTAAAGTTATCTTATCACGCATAGAATCATTTGTAAATAATTTAAATGCATGTTTTATTTCATCTAAAATACTTCGTTTACTGAATTTTTCTAATACTGTACAAAAATGAAAATTGTATAAATCAATAAATATACAGTACACAAATATTTTTCCAATTAATTTAATTCAATTAATATCTCACGGAACGTACCAACATAATTAAAATCGTCAAAAGAAATTTTATTACAACCGTGCTTATCGTACATTCGCATAATCGCTAAAATATAGGATTTTTTAACTATAAAACCTAAAGCCTTCAATACAGCTTTCACTTCATAATAATCTAAATACCCATCACCATCGTTATCCATCAAACGAAATAACTCTTTCAATCGTTTTTTATCATTTTCCATAATTATACTTTTTTTAATGTTCGACATAATTAATAATACTTATTTAAACAAGATTACCTTTGTATTAAATCGAAGAGGACGATAAAATTTATCAACTTCTACTGTCATTCATTGATTGCAGACAATTTTGGTTAGCAGCACTCACTTGTTCCTGACTAACAATCTACATTTTTTTCCATTAATATTAAAATTTTTTAAAAAGATTGTAACAGCATAGATTTTCTGCTATGTACATATATACATATATACATATATACAATATATACACACACACATTTATATGTATATATACGTTGAAAATTTATGAAATCTTTTGGCAATTCTTATGATTTGACAAGCGCGATGCTACATACATCAACTATAGACGTTGTATTAAAAAGAGCCTTAAAAGTCTAACAGGTAGGTAAGTATGCATTATATAGAAAGTAGTATGTATCTATATAAGTACTTATGTAGTAGAGACTCCGAACCGCTTGTGCCACTGTTGCATTGTATTGTTGGTTTCAAATGTTATATTTATTGTTACTCAATTAGTAAAAATGACACGAATTACATTCTTACATCCGGACCTTGGAATTGGAGGAGCTGAACGATTGGTAGTTGACGCGGCATTAGCCTTAAAAAAAAAGGGTTATGATGTTAACTTCGTGACAACTCATCACGATCCGGAGCATTGCTTCTCTGAAACCAAAGATGGAACATTTCCTGTAACAGTTGTAGGAGACTGGTTACCCAGGCATATTCTGGGTAGATTTTTCGCACTTTTCGCTTACATT